GTCAGGTGTTTTGGGAGACAGTCCACATTCACATGACTTTTCCTTCAATGAATTGTTATAATTGTTCTATTTTACTGTTAGTTACTGTTGTTCGTGTCTGACTGCACCTAATTTATAAATTAGACTTCATCGTAAGTATGTACATCTAGGGAAAAACACAACATATACAGGGGTCGGCACTGCCCCAGTTCCAGGGGTCCATTGGGGGTGTTGGAATGCATCCCCGAGGATACGCTGGTCAGGGTTTTGGGGGTGAACTTCCAGTGTGCAGGAGACATGGGGCCAAGGAACCAAGTGACAGCACAGGGAGGTGAAGCGTGTCCCTCCAGCGTGGGACACCCAGGAGACAGCTGCCTGGGACTCGTCCACGAGGCACTGGCATGGTACCACAGGAGGGCTCTAGATGAAGGGTCCAAACCTGCAGAGACAGAAGGCAGACTCACCCTTGCTGGGGATGTGCAGCGGGGAGGGGCAAGAGTGCCGGGGGTCATAAAGGGCGCACGGAAACTTCTAGGGGTCATGGGTTTGCTGATCAACTTGACCATGGTGAGGGTTTCGTATTCAGAAGAATACGTACAACTAAGTCAAAACTTACCAAACGGTACGGTCTAGAAATATCCAGTTTATTGTATGCCAATTAAACCCTGATAAAACTATTAAGAAATTTCTTTAAACAATTTAAGAGTCATGACAACCAAATGCATACTGTCAAGTCTGTGTGGATCTTGTTTTTCATCAAAACTATAGTAAAAAGATATTCTTGGGAAATTTGAACGTGGACTGATTATTAGATGATAATGAGGAATTTTTAATTAACCTTATCAGGTGTGATAACTGAATTATAATACTGAAAGTATCTATATTTTACTTTTATTTTTTTAAAGGCTTTATTTTTTTAAGTTTATTTATTTATTTTGAGAGAGAGACCGCGCGAATAAGCTTGCAAGAGCTGGCAGAGAGAGAGGGAGAGAGAGAATCCCAAGCAGGCTCCATGCTGTCAGCAAAGAGCCCAATGTGGGGCTCGATCTCATGACCGTGAGATCATGACCTGAACCAAAAATCAAGAATCGATGCTTAACTGACTGAGCCACCCAGGCGCCCCGCAAGTATCCACATTTTAATGTAAAGTTTTTATCAAAGGAAATACAGACATGCACACAAGTGCACCAAGCAAGGGCGCACACACAAGATGAACACACGTATAGAGCCCAACTCCAGACCGAACAACACCAGCAGCATTATGGGGGCTCCAGCCCTGCTGTCCCCCAATGGAATTGTAAGACTCCAAGGGGAGCCAGGATTCCAATCCCAAAAAGTACTTCTTCTTGTTCTGGAACTTTACATATGTGGAATCAAACAGTATATACTCGAAACACAAGTCTGGCTTCCTTTGCTCAACATCATGTTCATGAAATTCATCCACATAATAGTTACACGCACCTACACTTTAGAGACATGTGCTAGAAATCTGGCGGGGAAACGGTGTGTGGTCTGAGCTTTAAAACGCTGTAGCTGAATCAAATCAGCACATTGTACACCTTAAACTCAGACAGTGACATATGCTAATTACATCCCAATGAAACTGGGGGGGGGGGAGTGATGATAATGGATAGATGTGTGTGTGTGTATGTGTGTGTAATTATGTATATGTGTATCTATGGGTATATAAAGAAGTCAAACTGCCTAACCAGATTAGCTGCGAACATTACCATTCCATACACAAACATGACCACATAATTCTGCATAAATGACTTCACGTAATACAACTCCTACTACGTTTGATCTGCTCGTTTACATTAAATAATATGTACGGGAACACCTTTCTATGTCAGTAAGTCAACAAACATAATCTTTACCATTATTTTTCATAGCTGCATTTTATGACATAAAAGCATTAAAAAAACCCCAGCTCAGCAACAATAAAGAGGGGGACTAGATGAATCTAGGTAATAGAACAGATGAGTCTAGGTCATGGGTATATGGGAGTTCCTCTCCGGTATGTTTAAAATTTTTTACGTTAAAATTAAAGATGTGGTCGTGGGACAGCAGTACTGAGCAAATGTCCTGTGGCAGAGAAACTGCTCTGTGTCCACCACATCGTTTCCTCCTCTCGGGCACACCGAGAGCCGTCCCAGACCCCCTCACGTTAAACTGGAGCCATGCGACTGAATTCTGGTAGACAGAATATGGACAGAGCACTGTGATCCCCGCTGGCCCCAGAGGCATGAAGCGAAGCCTCCGTCCGGTGAGCCACCACATCCCTGTGGCCCTGCTGAGCCTCACGCGCAGGCCTAAAGCTGGGAGACCTGCATCCGTGGCATCCCCGGGGTGCAGCCCTCCCGTGGGCAGTGATACAGAGGGCACCACGTGCTCCCGCAGGCCTTGCCCAGCTATTTCTGAGGGACCTTGAGACCTAGAATTGGTTTTCATGAGATAGAGTGATTTTCTCCCATAATTTCTTCTGCGTATTTTAAAGTTCGCTTTCATCATCTTGATTCCCATTCACTGGGGACCTGCTATTTTCAACTTGACGTGGGGGGGGGGGGACTTTATTTCCTAAGGAAATAATTGTTGTGGTCTCATTTATCGATGAGTCCCGACGAACAGGTTTGGGCTTCCAGAATCCTGCAGAGGTTTTCGGAAATAGTTGCTTAGTGAAAGCTTGGAGGATCTGAATAGAATCTGTTCCCTGATCGACGGCCAATCTGCAGGAGTGACTTATCTCGCAAGAGGGCAGAAGCACAGCTATGAGTGTTGCTGGGACGTTCCTGCAGACAAGAACGGTCCGGAGACGTTGCTGTTCCCATCACTTGTCTCTTTAGCTTTTTACCTCCTGTTCTTGCTGGGACACGTGGCCTGTGTGGCACTACCCCCGTCTCCGGGACCCCGTGGGACCTGCCCTCGGGCCTCCCTGCTGGGTCCTCCACTGCGATGTGCACGTTCCTTTCCCAGCACCCTGAGCGTCTTTCTCCCAAGACAGAAACCCCTCCTTTTCGTTTTACTGCCTGGGACAAGCATGCTGTCCTCACGGCACGTATTCACGCACGCGTACATTTGGTGGCTAATTGTTACATGGAATTAAAAAGAAATAAATCAAGGATGCTATCCAATTGGGTACCTGTTTGGAGCCAAAACTTGAATGTGAGCACTGGCAATCACTCCTTCCATGGCCCACAGGCTCACGTCCCTATCTCCCGTGTCCGTCCACATCCTGCCCCCAGCAGCCTGTCGTCTCCAGTCTCTTGTCCTGCAAACACGACCACCTCCCCAACCGCTGTCCCAAGGGTCACCGCGCTACTGACCGGTCATTCTTCAGAGTCTCCCACCGCCACACGCAGGCCCCCGTGTGGCTCTCTGGAAAGCCCTCCGTCCGCTTCCACGAGCGCGTACCTGTCCCTCTACGATCCACCTGGAGATGGACGTCTTCCCGTCGTAGCCGGGGCGGAACTGAAGTGTGGCTGAGCGGGGGCTGATGTTGGAAATGACCAGGTTGGACGGGGCACCAGGGAGCTCTAGACAGACAGGACAGAAAACATGGAGAGGCGAGGTTCTGAGAGCTTAGGAAACGCATCAAATGTGTCAGCAAGGACACGGTCTCAAGACGCCCAGATTTGCTTTCAATACCCCTAAGCGAGAGGCACTGCTTCCCCGGGACGTGACCCCAGCACGATCCTTACTTTCCTAGGGCCGCCCATCAGGCCCCACGGCCTCTGCAGTGGGGCGAGGACACACGCGGCCCCAGACGATAAACTCGGAAGGTGGGACTTACTCGTGTCTGTGCACAGCCGGTAATTAACAGCTACAGGCTGAGGGAAGGAAGCGTGAGCGGATGTCATTCTTCCTGGCCCCAGAAAGAGCACAGAGACCAAACACCCACCGTCTCTCTGGTGAGGACCGTGAAGCCGGGGCAAGCGGAGCGGGGCGGGCGGAAGACAGCAGGTGCCGTGTATCGCTGCCAGGTGCGCGGGGTCCTGAGCCTTAGGCTCCCGGGTCCGGTTTCCAAGACAACCACATTCGGGTGAAAATGCAAGGCTCTCCCCACTCTGAGTTCAGTTGCTCCGGCAACGAAATTGGGGGGGGGGGGGGGGGGGAGACACACTCCCACCCTGGGAGGTTACGTGGGTCTTTGGCCTACTCACCGAGTGGAGACCCTCGGGCAGGCTGCTCCCCCAGAGAGCCGGTCCCGCTCACAAGCGGGATACAGTGAGTCTGAAATATGGGCTCTTATCTGGGCAGCAAAAAAGGGGAGGATAGGGGGATGGGGTGAAGCCGACAAGGACGCCGTGCAGGCAGCAGAGGCGGTGGGCAGCCCGCACCGTGTCCGAGGAACATGTCGCGCCGGCGGGGAGGGGGCAGGGGGCTGCAAACCGGGACACGCATGGGGACAGTAAGGCCGTGTGAGCGGTCAGGACAGCACTGGCACAGGCAGGGTCCTCAGGACCTCAAGGGTCCTTTCCGCGTCTAGTTTCATGACTCTGAAGCAGGAAATGTTTAAATAGAAGGACAAATGACTCTTGTCTTTGTATTTCTCAGCTCGCTGGACTCTTTATGTGGTGCTCCAGACATTTAGTGGCTGTGAGCTTGAAGTGCATGAAGCGGAGCACAGTCCTCCAGCGTGATGTGACGGTGGGTGTGAGTTTGCTTCCAGACAGATCTCCAGGCCCTGGACCCGTGTCCAGCTGCAGGTGAGTTCACCAAGGTTAACTTGGCACAGCGGGGCCCTCTCCCTGCGAGTTCTCTCTCCGTGGTGCCTCTGGAGGTCCGTAAGGTGCCCGAGCCGACCCAGGGGGACCTGGTTACACGTGGTGATGCTCCCCAAGTCGCCGTCCGTCGCTGAGCGTGAGACAATTCTCACACATCCAGCGTCCCGCCATCATCGCTGGTTATTAGGGCGTTAACAGTATCTTAAACGTGTGCTGTGGGAACGGGCTGTTGATGGCGAAGAAACGAATCTTTCTGGCAAAGACTGCTCTCTTTCAAAAAGCAAACTCATTTTGTAAACGCCTTTAAGAGACACCGGACTGCCTGGAAGCATGGTCCCCGACCACCTGAGCACCTGCTGCAGAGGCAAACCCTCCAGTCCCGCCCGCATCCGCGGGCCCCAAAAGTCCCTGGGATACGCTGTGGGTGGCCGTGCCGACCCGCCACCTCGGAGAGAGGGTGCAGTGATCATGTATCTGGGGACAGAGACTGGCTTGGGGACACCTGCCCAGCTGGCAGAGTGGGTGGCCACTGGCCTCTAGAGAGCGTCCTACGAGGTCACGCTGCTCAGAGGAG